AGGGAAGCATACAAAGAGAGCACACATGACAGCGTTACCTATAAAACCTAATCTGTTCAGCAATCGCACTTCTGGGTACATATCCGAAAGAAATGAAAACAGGATTGGGCTGGGCACAATGACTAACGCCTGTAATCCCAGCACTTTGGGAGGCCGAGGCGGGCAGATCACCTGAGGTCAGGAGTTCGAGACCTACCTGGCCAATATAGCGAAACCCCGTCTCCACCAAAAATTTAAAAATTAGCCGGTCGTGGTGGTGCGTGCCTGTAATCCCAGCTACTCAAGACGGTGAGATAGGAGAATCGCTTGAACCCAGGAAGAGGAGGTTGCAGTGGGCCAGGATCATACCACTGCACTCCAGCCTAGGCAACAAGAGCAAAACTCTGTCTCAAAAAAAAAAAAAAAAAAAAAAAGGAAATCCTATCATGCTCTGCACCGATGAACCTTGAAGACATTATGGAAACTGAAATAAATTAGCCACAAAAAGTCAAATAGTGTACTACATGATTCCACTTTTATATGAGGTATTTAAAGTATGTAGTCAAATTCAGAAACAAAATAGAATGGTGGCTGTGGGGCAAAGGATACAGGGGAAATGCAGTTGTTGTTTGGTAAGTATAGAATTTCACATCTGCAAGATGAAAAAGTTCTAGAGATCTATTGCACAAGGTACATTTAATTGTACTTGTGGACTAAGCTCTGATTTTTTTTTTTTTTTTTTTTTGAGATGGAGTCTCGCTGTGTCGCCCAACTGGAGTACAGTGGCACTATCTCGGCTCATTGCAACCTCAGCCTCCGTAAAGCCATTCTCCTGCCTCAGCCTCCTGAGTAGCTGGGATTACAAGTGCACACCACCACACTAGGCTAATTTTTGTATTTTTAGTAGGGACGGGGTTTCACCTTGTTGGCCAGGCTAGTCTTGAACTCCTGACCTCAAGTAATCCACCTGCCTCGGCCTCCCAAAGTGCTGGGATTACAGGTGTGAGCCAACGCACCCAACCTGATTTTTTTAATCTTACCCAAATTCCTACCTAAGGGGTCTAGGGAGTCATGCCCTACAAACCATAAATTCTTATTAGGTGGGTTTTATTTGACCCTATATATTGTAATTTACTTTTCAATCTGACTCTGGCCTAACATTATGAGACAAGGAAGAAATGTTTAACACCAAAATATATTTCTTTGCCGTACCTTAAAATTGTCCTGCAAAGCCTGTTGTAGGAAAAATCCATATTCTATAGTGAATCCCCTTCCCAGTTTGTTTTCCTTCCTTCCCAAATCCAGGAGATAATCAACTATGAGCCAGACACCCTTTTAAGTCCAATAAAAAACAATTTACAACCTGCTCTCTCTGAAGTCTGCTATCTAAGAGCTTCCTCCGCACAGTAAAACTTGGTCTCTACAATCTTTTGTCTTTAACCTGAGCATTCCTTTCTGTCAATCCCAGGTCTTCAGACAACCTCAACCAATTGTCAACCAGAAAATGTTTAAATTTACCTATAGCCTGGAAGTCCCCACTTTGAGTTGTCCTGCTTTTCTAAACCAAACAAATGTATTTCTTAAATGTATTTGATTGATGTCTCATGCCTTCCTAAAATACATAAAACCAAGCTGTAACCCAACCACCTTGGGCACATGTTCTCAGGACCTCCCGAGGGCTGTGTCATGGGGCCATGGTCACTCATATTTGGGTCAGTATAAATCGCCTCATATTTTACAGAGTTTGACTCTTTTTGTCATCAATCATCTGGCACCCATTCGTGGGGCCTCAGAGAAGACTAAGGGTCATACTATACACTTAAAAATGGTTAAGATGGCCAGGCACGGTGGCTCACACCTGTAATTCCAGCACTTTGGGAGGCTGAGGTGGGTGGAGCACTTGAGGTCAGGAGTTCAAGACCAGCGTGGGCTAACATGGTGAAACCTCCTCTCTACTAAAAATACAATAGCCAGGCATGGTGGTGCAGGCCTGTAATCCCAGCTACTCAGGAGGCTGAGACATGAGAATCGTTTGAACCCAGGAGGCAGAGGTTGCAGTAAGCCACTGTACTCCAGTCTGGGAGACAGAGCAAGGCTCTGTCTCAACATAAAAGAAGAAAAAAAAATTAAGTTGATAAATTGTGTTATGCGTTTTTAACACAATAAAAAATAAATTATTAATTGAAAACAATGTAAATACCCACCAGCAGGGAATTGGTCATGCTACAGCTATACAATAAAGTAGCCATCAAAAATGATAATACTGATACCTATTCAGTTATACCCATAGCCCATTCTTGCAAGTTTTTTCAATATAAAAAAAGCAAAGCATTATATCATAAAACATGTGTCCATATCTGTAACTAAAGACAGAGGTATGTGTAAACAGTGGCATCTCTAGGTAATAGGATTGCAGATGACCTTTACTTTCTTTTTTATATTTTCTTGTGTGGACTAAGTATTAAGTACATGGCAAAAGATGGCTTAAAAGAGGAAGTGACTGCCACCATTGGCTCCAGAATCCTGGGATGGAATTTTGTTTCCCTCATCACTATGTGTCTGGCACATGTTGAAGGATTAATAAAAATTTGAGAGGCAAAATGAACAGTCGTTAAGAGTTCAGGAATCAAGACAGGCCTGGATATGAATCTCAATTCATATTCATTGAAAAGGGGCCTCAGACTTTAAAGCTCTTTTTTTTGGTTGGTTGGTTGGTTGGTTTGCTTGCTTGAGATAGAGTCTCCTGTGTTGCCCCAGGCTGGAGTGCAGTGGCTCAATCACAGCTCATTGCAGCTCTGACCTCCTAGGTCCCAGCGATTCCCTCACCTGAGCCTCCTGTGTAGCTGGACCACAGCTATGCATCACCAAGCCCAGCTAATTTTATTTTTTGTAGAGACCGAGATTTCCTATGATGCCCAGGCTGGTCTAGAACTGCTAGACTCAAGTGATTCTCTTGCCTTGACATCTCAAAGTGCTGGGATTACAGGTGTGAACCACCAGGTCAGACCTCTACAATTCTTATTTAACTTCATTGAGTCTCACTTTCTTCAACTATAAAAATGTCAAGAAGACTTAACAGATTGTTGCAAGGAAAATGTACTTATCACACAAAACATCATTTCTGGCTCAAATGAAACTCAGTAAAATGATGGCCATCATTACTGTTTAGTGACTCGATTTACACTGAAGAACTCCCGACACAAACAAATAAAAAAAAACTAAGCATCTACAGAAGACTGCATTGCTAAATTATCACTGAATATCCTAATTGCATTAAAAAGCAAGAGACAACACTTTGCCTGGTAGAGCTACAAAAATGTCTTGCTGCAAGGTATGGTTACATTCCTATATCTAGCAGGATTACACTATAAAATTTACCATCTACTTTGTATATAAACATCACTCATGAGTATTGGACACAGATTTATTAGTGCTTTAGTAAAAATAATGCAAAGAGGAAAATGTGCTTGTTTTAATCCAAAGGTAGAATGTAAAGAGAATGTAAACATACAAAATGTGACTAAAGACTTCACTTAGAGAGAGATAAAAGGAGTAAGTGACATTACGATTTTGTTTAGCCTCTCTCTTCCTCACAACTTTTGGACAAGGAGCCTGTCTTTTTAGGCACTGCTCTACCCACAAAGTCTATACAGTGTAAGCGCTCATACCATAAATACAAGAGGATTTATAAGAGAAAATCTCAGTAAAATCATGGAGTAAACTGAATTAGAATTTATCTGAGAAAGTCTCAGTCAAAATAATAAAGCAAAGAGTTTAAGAATAAAGGGCACACGCATAGGGAGGTAAAAAGTCTTTTCCGTAACTTGCATTTCCTTTATTCAATAAGTTTTCCTGGGGACCGTATACAGTCACCCTTGAACTCTGAAGGAGGCATAATCCAGGGCCTGACCGTGCTAAGATTATTAGGCTGTGGGTTCCTTAACCCTTTTAGTGATGCCTTTATTCATCGGTGTATCATAGTTGGCACCCTGTGGTCACGTTTTTTGTTTTTGATTTTGTTTTGAGATGGAGTCTCGCTCTGTCACCCAGGCTGGAGTGCAGTGGCTCGATTCTCAAGTTAAGCGATTCTCCTGCCTCAGCCTCCCATGTAGCTGGGACTACAGATCCCTGCCACCATGTCCGCTAATGTGTGTGTGTGTTTTTTGGTAGACACAGGGTTTCACCATGTTGCCCAGGATGATCTCGAACTCCTGACCTCAAGTAATCCGCCCGCCTCGGCCTCCCAAAGTACTAGGATTACAGGCCTGAGCCACCGCGCCTGTCCGCCACTCATTTAATAAATGGTCGTTATTCAAAGAATGGTGATGGGGCCACTCTTGATTATCAATCCTTCAAACAGAAAAGCCCTTTTATGTGACTTTTTTCCTTCAAAGCTGACTTTAGAAGTGTGTTTGGGGCCGGGCGCGGTGGCTCACGCCTGTAACCCAGCACTTTGGGAGGCCAAGGTGGGCAGATCACGAGGTCAGGAGATCGAGACCATCCTGGCTAACGCGGTGAAACCCCGTCTCTACTAAAAATACAAAAAAATTAGCCAGGCGTGGTGGCGCACGCCTGTAATCTCAGTACTCGGGAGGCTGAGACAGGAGAATGGCGTGAACCCGGGAGGCGAGGGTTGCAGTGAGCCGAGATCTCGCCACTGCACTCCATCCTGGCGACAGAGCAAGACTTCGTCTCAAAAGAAAAAAAAAAAAAAGTGTGTCTGTAAATGTGGGAGGAGTTAGTTCAGAACTTCGGAGCCCTGTCTTTACAGTTCGAACTGACCACGCGAAGACTAAAGGCATTAGAGGTACTTTCTACAAATTTAGCCGTGCAATCTGAGCCAGCAGGCCGAGACGCCCGGGATTGAAGGCCGGGGTGGAGACAGTATGAGGGCCCTGGGAATTACCCCCATCCCATGTCACCCACTCTTTCTTAAAATGCCATTCAATTCCGTTCAACTTTTTATCTCCCATGCAAGAAACTAGCGACTTGCCCGCCACGCCACTTCCAAACAGTCACACCTGGCGTATTCGCCGCAGCATCTCCAACTCCCGCCACAGGTTTGGGACGTGTCCGCCCCTAAGCGGAAGTGACGTTCAACGGGACTACGTGAAAGTAGACGAGTTCAAATACGTACTAATAATTTAAAACCCGTATGGTGTTTTGAGGAAATCTTCTGCTTACCCTTCTTCCATCATTTCTCTCCTGCTAGGGTTGCGAAAAGGGCTCAGTATAGCCTCGCGACAACTCGTTCTCCTCCCTAATTCCAAGTCATTCAAAACTCTGTCCCTTTTCATTGGCTGAGGCGGCGCCATGGGTACCTCTCAGGAACTACAATTCCAGCCAACCACCGCGACAGGTGAACGGAGGAGAGGTTATGAGCAGGGGAAAAGCGTATTGGGAATTGTAGTCCACTCCAGGTCGAAAAGAGCACTGACCCGCCCTCCGCCACTGACGCTGGAGAAACCAGGTGTTCGTTTCAGAACCCGTTAGCGCTAAGGGGAGGAGCCAAGCCCTTAAGCAGCATGCCTCACTTCGCCCCACATGGAGGATAATTTTCCTTTACCCCTAAAAAGCACTATGAATACCCCCTGAGGAAATATGGTTGTCTTTTAAATACCTCGAGTCAGTAAAAACTCACGAAACTCCCTCACCTCAGGATCCAACTCGTGGGAAAAGGTAGCTCTTTTACAAGTGGGCAAAATGGCTGTCCTCCTAGTTTTACCATTGGTTGGCTTTTGCGCCCTTCAAGGGCGGTTACTTATCACGGATTGGTTCTTTTTCTCTTGAGGTTGGAGGAAGATTTGGCACGGCTCTCCGAGGCCTGGGAGGAGGTAAAGGGGTGGAGAGAAGGCAGTTTTTTCAAGCGTGATTGGGCAACACCCATGTCACTCCGGGGACGTACAACCTATGAGTAGTCGGCTGCCGCTCAAAGAGAACGAAGAGGCGGGGCTAGTGCGTGGTGGGAAGGGGCGGGATTCTGCCAGCCGCGGCTGCCGCTGGAGCCGGTGTCCGGGCTGGTGATGGGGTTAATTCCCTTTCGTAAGACTCTTACTTGCACCCACCCAGCCCCGCCGTCGCCCCGCCGCGCCGCGCTCCAACCGCCTCCTCCTCCTCAGTAACGCGGGTAAGAGATGCCCTCCCCTCCCCCGTCCAGCTCCCCGGGAATAACGCGCCTCGCTCCCCTCCCCCGCCCGCCAACCGGTAGCGCTAACGGAGAAGGAGGCAGGCAGGGGAGAGATGCGGTGTGTGAGAAGGTGGCCTTCCCCGCCGCGTCGTCGGCGCTCCAGCCAGGGCCTTCCGACGTCCCGCTGCTGCCAGCCCGCCGTTAGGTCGGGTTCCGAGTGAGCCAGTCTCGCCTGGCCCGCGGCTGCGGCTGCGGCTGCAGCTGCAGCCACTACCTTGTGCCCACCGCCCCCACTCGGGGGCCATGTGAAAAGCAAACCCCTCGAGGCCTAGCGGAGGAGGCAGGGGAAAAGGTTCCCGAGTCCCTGCCATGGCTGCTGCTGCCTCCGCGGCTGCTCTTGCAGCCCCAGGGACTCGGGAGCCAGCCACAGCAGGCCTGCCAGGAGCGTGGTGCTGCTCTCTCGGGTGGCTGGCGCCGGTGCCCCGGGCTCCCACGGCCGCATCCCCTGGCCTTGCACCAAGAGAATTTTCAGCTTCGACCGGTTGGTGAAATGTAGGTACATTTTCCCTGTGGTATCAGCAAAAGCACAATGGGAATATTAAAAAGAAAGTTGAATGACTGTCAGTGTCACGGTCCCCCGGGATCTGATTTACACACGTTTTGATGACTGAGCCTTAGGCTGCCAACAAATTTTTGTGTGCTTTGAAGTTTTTTGGTGTTGTGTTTTGTTTTGTTGTTGTGACTAGGTCCAAAGGATGCCTCTGTTGAGCTTGTTTTTATAAAGAAACTTAAATTATTGGGACTATCATGCTCCGTGTGTAATTGTCCTGGGATAGTAAGTTAACTAAGTAAAAGGTGAAGAGGTGCTTTCCAAATTAGGATTCGTGAACAGCAAATGGTTTTTCTAATAAAATTTTCTAAATATATGTATCTTCATGGTTATAGTTTACCTAATTGTAACTTTAAGAAACCCTTTTTAGCTTAAATGTCTTTGATGACAAAAACTTTTAAATGAAAAGATGGTTAAAGTCAAACTGGAAGTCTACCCATTTATAATATTTGAAACAAGATCTTCTAAGTATTTAGTAGGATACCAGTCTGATAGGAATAATTGGACACGTCTCAATTTCTAAAAATTTGGCATATTTGGCTATTTTTAGGGCATTCTGTTATGATTTCCTCATCACGTTTTGATCAAGTGCTTGTCTTTTCAAATACCACTCTGCTTTTATGCCTGGAAGAATATGTCTTTAAATCATGGATTCTATAGTCTGTAGTAGACATACCTGTGATCAGAGTTAAAATTCTAGGCTCATTTCTGAGGTTTACTTGTTGGCAGAATAAACCTGGGTTCTGAAGAAATATCTGAGTTTTGATCATTTCTTCAGGGTCTGAAGACTATGGTGGCTTAATGGTCTTCTATATTCCATAACTAGTACACCTGGATACAGGATTGACATAGATATGTTCAGATCCTGGAGGAAATTTGGGTATCTATTAAGAAATGAAAATTGCCAGCCATATAGTAGTCACCTGTAGTCCCTGCTACTCAGGAGTATGAGGTGAGAGGATCACTTGAGCCCAGGAGTTAAAGGCCAGCCTAGGCAGTATAGCAGAACATCATCTCAAAAAAATAAATAGATAGCCTTAAAAGGTAAGTCCCCTGAGATCCCCACAAAGTTCCTGTAACATATATTGCCAGCTGCCAGCATAGTATTTTCCAAAACTTAAGAGTTAATTGATAAATTATACAATTGATACTTTCAGATCTTGAGTGATTTATATAGAGAAAAGACTGTTGAAAATTTAGGAGTCGTCTACATTTTCTTCCTGGCTGTTGGATCCCTCCATGAACCTCAGTTCGGTTTCCTCATCTGTAAAATGAGGATGATAATGCTTAACTTAAGAAGTTATGAAAATTAGAGATAAATATATAGTAACGGCTGGGCACAGTGGCTCACACCTGTAATCCTAGCACTTTGGGAGGCTGAGGCAGGCGGATCACCTGAGGTCGGGAGTTGGAGACCAGCCTGACCAACATGGAGAAACCCTGTCTCTACTAAAAATACAAAAAATTAGTTGCGTGTGGTGGTGGGCACCTGTAATCTCAGCTACTCGGGAGGCTGAGGCAGGAGAATTGCTTAACCAGGGAGGCAGTGGTGAGTGGAGATCAGGCCATTGAACTCCAGCCTGGGCAACAAGAGTGAAACTCCATCTTAAAAACAAAGAAAACAGAAAATTAGAGATAAAGTATGTAAATCCCCTAGCATTGAGCCTGACACAGTTTGTGCAATTAAATATTAACTGTTATTATTTTCATGCATATTTAGAGAATGGGATTGTTGTTCCTATGCTGAGGGTGGTGTTGCAGCCTTCGAACACATTCTGTTACTGAAGAGTACCATAGGCGTATTAATTTGTATAGTGACTTAAGCACAGTTTGTGGCTATTTTTGATTCCCTTATGGAAGTTTTTTTGACTTTGAATTAAAATACAAGTGTCTGTGGAATATATTTCAAATGGATTATTGGGAATAATAATTAGTGTACTCCATGTAGTGGTTAACTATTGTAATATCTTTTAAATTTTATTTAGCTGATACATGTTTCAAGCTCTAGTTTATATACATGCTATCCATATTCATTGTGCTACCAGGCGACATTTGAACTATTTAATACACAGTTAAGATTAAGCAAATCATTTGAAATTGTTATGACCATATGTGACTACAGTTTTGTTGCTGTTTTTTAATTCTCCTTATTTATCAACACTTGAGTGTTCCTTTTCTGTGAAACAGCTCGTGAGAGATGCTATTCCTTTCTCTTCCTAGGCATTTCTGAAAATTTACTGACTCTTCACACATAATAGTGTTCTTAGAATTTCTATAGTTAGACAGGAATGCACAGTCAGAGTTCAAAACAAGCTGCACCTTAAGCAAAATAATGAGCTGCGGTATATACGGTGGGCCTCCCAAGTCATTGGACCTCGTACAAATGGGTGCTCCTCCAAGGAGGTGTTACATGATAGTAGCAATAGAAAATTATATAAACTTGAAATGAGCTTTGTCAAATATTATGCAGAAGATGTGCATTGCCATGCATTGCAAGTAATAGGTTTTTTTTTTTCTTTTGTTGAACTGGTACTTTAGTATACCTAATTTCATCCATTTGAGTTAGTATTAAGTTTTAATTTCTCAGCAATAAAGTAGTGAAAATTGGTAGCAGTTTTGTTTTTCCCATTCTTGGAAAATGTTACAGTGATGAACAAGGCTTGATAGGTTTGTAAAATACTATTGCTATTTGAATTAGAAAATTTCACTATTGACTTTCCATATTCTGTTGTAAATAAGTTGGGGAATTAGTGTGTCAAGGAGGCGTGGTAACAAATGGTAATGTAATTTTCAAATAGCTATTGCAGCACCAAACCGCAGAATCAATACTCTGTCTTTATAACCACATTTGCATATAGGGATAATTTATTTCTTATAACTTAAGATAACTAAAATGAAGGGCCGGGCGGGGTGGTTCACGCCTGTAATCCCAGCACTTTGGGAGGCCGAGACAGGCAGATCACAAGGTCAGCAGTTTGAGACCAGCCTGGCCAGTATGGTGAAACCCCATCTCTACTAAAAATACAAAAATTAGTAGGGCGTGTCGGTGGGCGCCTGTAGTCCCAGCTACTTGGGAAGCTGAGTCAGGAGAATCGCTTGAACCTGGGAGGCGGAGGTTGCGGTGAGCCGAGATTGCGCCACTGCACTCCAGCCTGGCGACAGAGCAAGACTTTGTCTCAAAAAATAAATAAATAAATAAATAAATAAATAAATAAATAAATAAATAAATAAAATGGAATGAGATGGCTATTGTGAAGAGAAGGAAGTCAGTTTTTTCTCTGTATAATTGTAAACTTTAAAAAAAAATCATCTTAAGACTTAATCCTTAAGACTTCCTGTACTGTTTAATAATATGGACATGTGCAAAGAATTAAATCATATAATTAAACAAAATTTTGTCAAGTTAACTTTGCTTCTCAAATAAGGAAGTTATATAATTAAACACATTTGCTTGTACCTAATAAGACATTAGCGTCCTCATGAATGTATGTC